TGAACCAGATAGGGCAACTGACAACTGACGCCCAGGAAAAAGCCAACCTATTAAATAGGTACTTTGCGTCATTCATCAGCCCCATGGGACGCCCATGCCCGCTACAGGGCCGGGAAGTCCGGGTGAGGGTGATCCCCTGCCCTCCATTAATGCTGACTTTCTGAAGGAACATCTTGAGAAGCTGGATACCTTCAAGTCAGCCGGCCCTGACAATCTTCACCCCAGGGTACTCAAGGAGCTGGCGAGCATTGTAGCCCAGCCTCTAGCATGGCTATGATGCTTGCCAGCTCCTTGAGTACCCTGGGGTGTAAACTGTCAGGGTCGAATGACTTGAAGGTGTCCAGCCTCTCAAGATGTTCCTTCCTGAGGTCAGCATTAATGGAGGGTAAGGAATCTCCCTCACCCAGGCCTTCCTGTCCCATAATGGGCAGGGGCGTCCCTTGGAACTGGTGAAAAACCTATGTAAAGTACCCACTTAGCAAGAAACATTTGTGCAGTACAGCTTATTCTGCTGGTGAGTTCAATATTTTTCATGCTATTACAGGATGAAAATGGATTGGTATTTATTGCTAAAAGGTACTGTTCTGAAATGAAAGGCAGAAGCTGAAACTGCTGAAGTCAATACAGAAGAAAAATCTGCAAAAACAAAAAAAAATGATGAAAATCCCGGGACGTCATTCTCCCCCTGTACTCGGCCTTAGTGAGGCCGCAGCTGGAGTACTGTGTCCAGTTTTGGGCTCCACAATTCAAAAAGGATGTGGAGAAGCTTGAGAGAGTCCAGAGAAGAGCCACGCGCATGATCAGAGGTCAGGGAAGCAGACCCTACGATGACAGGCTGAGAGCCCTGGGGCTCTTTAGCCTGGAAAAGCGCAGGCTCAGGGGTGATCTGATGGCCACCTACAAGTTTATCAGGGGGGACCACCAGTATCTGGGGGGAACATTTGTTCACCAGAGCGCCCCAAGGGATGACGAGGTCGAATGGTCACAAACTACTTCAAGATCGTTTCAGGCTGGACATAAGGAAGAATTTCTTTACTGTCCGAGCCCCCAAGGTCTGGAACAGCCTGCCACCGGAGGTGGTTCAAGCGCCTTCATTGAACACCTTCAAGAGCAAACTGGATGCTTATCTTGCTGGGATCCTATGACCCCATCTGACTTCCTGCCCTTTGGGCAGGGGGCTGGACTCGATGATCTTCCGAGGTCCCTTCCAGCCCTAATGTCTATGAAATCTATGAAGAAGTGTCTCTTGCTCTCTATTACTGTGCAAAAGATGCAAATGGGGAAGTGACAGCACAAGAGAAACAGCAGTGCCACCCATAAACAGAACTCTATCATATTAGAAGATTATAAGAATCATTTTATGTACTCTCCCAGTTACGGTAACCTTGCATTACCAACCATATACCTTCAAGTGCTTCATGTAGGGAACCAAGTTGTGTAGGTCAATTACTTTCTTACACCTCAGCCCTGCAAGGTATTCCATTTGGGAAGATTTTTTACACAGAGCCTCACTCGCATCCCACTCCACGTATAATTATTTGGGGAAATGGAGCTTTGGTTTATACTCTATAAAGTAAGAAGGAAGAGAACTTCAAACAGCTGAAAGAAAAGATGGACTCAGAGGGACATCCTATACTTATCCCTGGAACCCCCCCCCCAAAAAAAAAACCGCACACACACACCAAACAGCTCTCTTACATACATACAGTGTTTCTTTAGTCTGTGCAGTATAACAGCCATTTACTGTACTTGGATGTCACACCCAGTAGAAGCCTATCACTGAAAAGTATAGGGATCTTGAGAAACAGGATTTGGGGTACGCTACAGGACAGTAGAAATCACAATTAAGGCAGGAATTCAAAATACAGCTGCAAAGTCACTACCTATTTCTGACAACAGTACTTTTTTACTTTAAAAACAAAACTATGAATGGAATAAGTCTACACTACTACTGCTGTAGTTCTGGAAGACAGAAATATTTCTAATGTTTCCAGAGACAAATCATGGAGTTGTTGAATTAGAAGAAGCATCCTAATACAAGACTCCAATACAAGACTAGCAAGAGAATGTCCAGACACAAGGCCTTGCAAAAGCCTGACATATTTTAAGCCTGAACAGTCACTGTAAAGATACCTATAAAAATAATCTTCTGAGGTAAGCTATTAGGGATCTAATAACTTCCAGTTTTTATTAACAGAGAACAAATTATAATTTTGAATACCCAAAGTGTTGTAGCCATTATCCAATTAGTCTCTCATTTATTACCAGTACTCCAAACTCTTACTGTAATTTCCATGGGATATCAGATCATATGCAGGTAGTAATTTCACATTTAACACTGAGTTTCTGTAAAATAGTAAGCAAACCTCAACCTTCCAACAGGGGAAGCCAAATACTAGAGAGACACATCATTAAAGGCAAGAACTATGACAAGTCCTAGTGGAATCAAACCTAACATATTTTGGTTTACAAATTTAGACCTCATGAGATACATAGCAAGTTCACATTGTACTTCCCTGCTCATTTGCAACAAGTTTAAACAGAAGTAGTTTGAGTAAACTAGACTTTTACGTTTCCAAGGAATGTGAAAGTTACATGACAGGTCTTTGAATATCAAAATATTAGCTACCATGACAAGGTTATTCCTATTTTCAAAGAAACAATAAGCATATTTCACATAATTGTGGAAAAGGCAGAAATGTATGTCAGAAGTTGTATATGATATAAAGTAAGCTAATAATGCAAGATTCTCCAAGAGTATTTTCAATGCTTGGAACATTACTTTCTCTGAAAACTCTCTTCAAATCCGAGCACATTTTTACTAGTTTAGGCCCCAGATTATTCACTCATCCAGCAATAATACCAGTCAAGATTCTAAAAGTCCATCTGCAATCAAAATAAGTCCTAATTCTTTCAATTCACACAGGACATTTGTTAATGGTTTCCTATTTTAACATTTTCCTAAAAGCAATAAGCATCTGGCAGTTCCTAACTGAGAAAGTCCATTCTCATTATTTCTGGACTTACATGCGTATCAATGAAAAAAAACAAACCAAAAGATCCCCCATGTGTGGCAATGCCAAAAAGGAAAGGGTCATCATTTTCATTCCATTTAGAGAATTGCCACATCAAGGGAACTTGGAACATCTCAACTATACTACATACAAGAGGAATACTTCAAAATGAAGATATTCCATCTAGTGATTTAAACTACCATTACAGTTGAAGTTTGTGACTTTTTTTTTTTTTAGTTGGTTGGCATTATTTAACCTCACAACGGACAAATGCAGAGTTAATTTAAGAAGATGCTTCACCATCTTTTCAACATAACCAAGAGTTATACTGCAGTCTAGTAATTTTGATATTTAGATAAACCATTCACCTGATTTAACATTTGAAAGGGGGTGGGCACTAAGGGGGAGACAGTGGAAGCAGAAGAGGAAAAAGTAAGAGTTACTTCTTTACATACATGCTGCATATAACCTAAAATTTAGGACAAGTCATCTCCTACTTGGAAACAGGTATTATTTGGGCACAAGATTTTCTCTCTAACATGGGTTCCTCAGATTCATAAATGTAAGACTAGCAATTTCAGAGGAATCCATATGAGCTTCGCTGTTTATCTACTTTTTTTCTGGTGTTCCATAATAATCTTAACCCTCACAACCATTCTTCAGTAAGTGTTATCTGCAATCCTGATACAAAAGGATCATTAAGCTTTTTAAATTATTATTAATAGAGGATAATAATTTTGAAGTTGTAATAAAATGGTTCATACCTGTCTTCATCACCATCAACGGGAATAGATATGCCAAATACAGAGCTGGCAAAACTGTTCATAGGAGTACTTGCAGGTAAGTGAAGAGGATTCGTTAAAGTGTCCGGAACGGGAGGCTTCACGTGAGGCTTATTTTCAGCAATGAGAGAAAGTGGTGGCTGAGGTAGGGGTTCTGATTTTCTTCTAGTATCATCAATTTGACCTGCTAAGGTTTGCGTTTGAGTCTGAAACTGTCCAATATTAGACTGTGGCAGATTTGTAGGTACATTAGATGTGCCTTGCATTACTGAATGTCCAACATGTTGTTGGACAACACTGGTACTCCTACTTACAGATGTATGGCTGGTCAGTTGTGACTGAACTAGAGTAACAGGGACATTTGGCATAGTAACAGAAGTGGTAGACACACTAGGCACACTTGTACCGGGCACAACTGCAGGCACGTTCTGAACTCCAGAGACTATGGTATGAGGAGCACTAGGCATTCCAGACACTTGACTACTTCCACCCATTTGATGCTGAGTCATAGATTTCTGTTGCACAATCCCTGTAGGTCCAATGCTTTGCTGCACCACACCTCCTTGCTGGGGAATGGCTGTCTGACTAGGAGGTGCCTGGCCACTCTGCATTAATCCTGATCCCTGTCCCACTGCTTCACCAGGCTGTGGCGAAATGCCCATCATTGGTGCTCCCACTGGTGAGGGATTCTGGGCAGCCACCTGGCCCACAGGAAGGCTGGAAGCCCCAGTACTTGGAACAGAGCTTGTAGTAGCTTGTGGGATAGTTCCTTGAGACTGTATAACTGTCATGTGTTGCATGTATTCTGCCTGGCCAGAAGGCTGTGTCGGCAGTAGATGTACTGAAGGAATCTGGGGTTGAGAATAAGCAAATTGCTGAGGCTGACTCACAGGGACATTTGCTGGCTGCACCTGCTGCTGCGGTACGGTCAGGCTAGGCTGGGTGATCGTTACATTCGGAGGTGGCATGCCTTTCCCATTGGTTCCAGCCTGTACAACGCTCTGTGCATTTACCTGCGGCTGGGATTGCTGCGGCGGCACCAGCATTTGCTGACTTGCTACTGGAGCCCCAGAATACATGGGCTGAGCAGTACTTTGTGGCATGGCCCCGCCTACAGGCTGCTGCTGCTGCCCAATGACAAAATTAGGTTGCTGTGGAGAGGGCTGGTTCATTTTCTCTGTCTGGAGCAGCTGTGACACAGCAGTAAGGGAGCTGTCAGCTATAGACTCAGAGCCGTGTGCTGAGGATGGCACGGCTGAGACCACTACAGAGCCTCCCGTGGCACCCAGCCCACTGTCCCTTTCTTGAGCAGCCTGATCAAAGGTGCTGCTGTGTCTAATGCAATCTCCAGTCCTAGCCAGGACACCACCACTGTCCGAGTCCCGGTCGTAATATTCCATACACGTCCATCGGCCCCGCCTATAGGGCTCCCCTGTGCCATGGTCCAGCTTGATCACCCTGAAGCGCGAACTACACACGGCTGCTGCCACGGTCCCAGGAGCAGCAGCTCCTGCTGCAGAGGACAGAACCTGGACACTGCTGCCCCCTGCCACTGGGGCCAGGGCCACTGGGGGCACCGCAGTGCTTTTGGGCACAGCCCCCCCATTGGCAGCTGCTGCCCCTCCCGGGGCTGAGGCCACCAGCTGCCCGTCCGGGGGGAGGTTGGGGGACACCGTCCCAGGAGTCTCAGCCTCACCCACATTGTTGAGGGTCTCCTCAGAAGAGCTCCGCTCACACACATCCTCAGGACCATAGTCAGTGGCCCGCGACACGTCGAAGATCTCGGAGGAGACGTCCTCGGTGCGGGACTCGTCGGGGTCATCCAGGCTCTCCGTGTCCTCCGTGATGCTGCTGGCCACCTGCGCCGTGGTCACGCTGGTGATCTGGAAGCAGCTCTTTTTCTTGGCCGGCATCTTGGACATGGCGCCTCCCGAGGCAGCGGGCTCGGTGCCCCCGCGGGCCGCAGCGGGGTAGGGGAGGGGGCCGGCGAGGCTGTCACGTTCTGCGAGCCGGGCCCCTGGCGCCGCAGCGCATCCTCCAGCAGCACCTTCCTCCTGCGGCGGCTCGGGCGCGGCGC